TACATGCTTTTTTGTTGAAAATGCATTCAGAGCAATTGAATGCCATTACAAAAGATGCGGAAGTCCCACCTTAACATCATCTAGCGCACATTTGTGAAGTCACCCTTTCGTTTATCATCATATATCTCGATACTACAATCGATAAGCAAAGCACCGTCATGAATATGTGCAATTAGGCAGGGCTGGTGAGATTTTTCCCGATGTATGGGATGTGACATTTGTAGGGCAGAAGCACAGATCAGCATAAGCGAGAGTGACAAATGCCTAATCCCTTCCTCCACATTTCAAAATTTGGAATACGCTCTTACATTCACACACCTACATCGCATATTCACACATCTGAATTCCTGGATCAACACGCCTCAGCTGTGGTCATACGGTGTCATGGATATGAACAACACTACCAGAGCAAGAACTAGAGGAGACTTCTTAATGGATCGTGAAGATTTGTCAGAGTGCATGTGCTCTGTATTTCAAGACTGTTCTGTATGGAAATCACACAATTTTGAGACAGTTTGTGTGACAGAGTGAGCCTCAAGGATAACACATTTGTGAGTTATTGAGAGGAAAAAAACACACAATGCATATTCACACACCACAAAGAAAAAAAAAATAGACAAAACTATCCTTGGAGCTTTTTTCCCTAAAACCATATGAATCCAGTGAAAATAGATAATGTGTTCACTATACTTTTAGCTGTCAAATCACTAGCAATCCTCGCCAGTTCATCACATACCTACTTCAGTTGAAGTCTGCAACCAGGCATTTTACATAAAAACATGCAAAAAAAAAAAATCTAGTTTATTTCTCAAAGTAAGCAATACAATATGTTTGCTGCAGCACACTTAAATAAATATATATTACACTAAAAAATGCTGGGTTGTTTTAACCCAACTTTGGGTCAAATATGGACTAACCCAGCCGTTGGGTTAAATTTTTACATTACATTTTTAACCCAACATTTCGGGTTTGTCCATATTTGACCCAAAATTGGGTTAAAACAACCCAGCATTTTTTAGAGTGTAGGAAATGCCCACATATGATATACATATATCATATATATCTCAATCACACACACTCTCTCTCAAGCAGACTGGTTTTTATTCAGGTGTGGGAGTTTAATTTTTTTTCTGAGAGACGTCTGTGAACCCTATAATAAGGTTCAGGTCTGAATCCTCTTGGAAAATCATCAACCCATAATCCTTTACATTGTGTTGCATTCAAATGAGGTGCTGGATCTCCCACTAACGCAGTGTAGCAGCGACGGCTAATTTACACGTGCACATACACGGAAACAGAAATTGTTATAGCCCCCACACACATGTTATATAGTAACAAAATATGAGCACACACACACACCTGCATGTAACGTGGCACATTGCACGAGCTCCTCCTTGCAAACCTCTTCCCCCAACTAGCTACCACACACACACACACACACACGGCACATGGCGAGGCGTCGCTCACACCACCTAGGAAATTAACTTGACATTTTATGGCGACCACAGAGGAAAAAAAAAATATGGAAGGAAATAAGAAGAAGAAGAAGAAAAAAAAACAAAGCGTACTAAAGGCACAGATAACATAAAGCCTCTCCCGAGCCTCGCCATCATATTCGCCAGGATTTTCACCGATCTGCAATGCAGACGGCACGGGGTGGCCACAGAAAATGAGCTTTTACGTCCTCGCCCGCCTTCCTCCGGAGACGACGGCTGTCTCTCTCTCTCACTCTTTCTCTCCCTCGACAAATGCTTCCTGTCTATTTTCATATCCAATTCAGTTGGTCCCATTGGCACGGTTCTGCCTGATGTGAGGTTAACAAAATGAAATAAATAGAAAAGGGACAATCTCACCTCAGTCTAAGCTCCCAATTAAAATGATACAGCCGCCCATGGCAGAGAACGAGAGCACATTGAAATGGGGAAGGAGAGTTGCTTTGTGGCCGCTTGGATTTCTTTTTTCGTATATGCGTGTGCATGCTGGACGGAGCCATATTCGGACTCTGCCTGCGCGCTCACACACACTTTCTTTTCCATTTCTTTGACACAATCTAGCACAATAAATCTCTGCTAAAGCAATGCTATAGTACAAAATAACATATAATAATAAATAAAAAAAAAATATGTGTTTTTTGTATCCGTCTATTTGCATCCTCGCACATGACGTATATAAAATTGTGTTTCTAAGAGGTGCAACGGCTTAATGCCGTTGGGCCAGCGTTCGCTGTCATAACCTCAAAGAAAAGATTTAAAAACACCCTTGCATAAAGAGTCCAAATTACTGTATCTCAGGATGCTGAGTGCATGGACACACAAACCTGTGCACACACACACACACATGTGGTTGTCTGTGGCTGGGTCCTGCTCTATTAGACATGCAGGAATGTTAACATCATTATGCATTATTCTGAGTGTCTGTCTGTGCCTTCACACCCCCCTCCTCTCTCGCTTTCTCTCTCTCCATTCGCCATATTGTGTCTGAGGAGAGGCCCAGACATGTGTGTGCCACAGACTAACGCAGTATTGTGTCTCCTGTCTGGGGATGGGCATTATTTTAACGGCCTTTCATGTGCTGGTGCACACAAATCACTGATCTTTTTCGGAAATGGAAGAAGTGGCAAACACACGCATACGGACAACCACACCCACTAACACACATATAGAAAATGTATTAATGCTCCACAGATGCCTTGCAAATAACGCCCAGGTTATGTTGCCGCATATCTAAACAAAAGCGCACGGATAACGCGTGCATGTGATATAACTTAAAAAAACTGTGAAAGAAAGAAAGAAAGAAAGAAAGAAAGAAAGAAAGAAAGAAAGAAAGAATGAATATTGCCTTATTTCATTTATAATGCTTACTAAATTGCGCTGAGCGGCTAAAGTGATATTAACTGTCAAGCGAGTGTTTACTTATTATGCAGCTTCATACGAAATGTAATCAGTTGTGACTATCATCAAGACCCACTTTCAGACCGTTAATAGGGAGGGGCTGTTATATCTCTTTGGCGATAATGAAAAGCCATTGAGACACTTATAAAATGCCATTCATTCTGATCAAGCTGAAGCACTGACCTCATTTTCTTCTTTTTAACACTATATTTTATTATGCTAAAAAAAGGCATTTTGAAATTCCTCTGCCTAGATTTTAGGGGAAAGAAAGACGTTATTTATTAATAATTTCTTCAATGAAATCTCCGTCCCTCTATTTTCATCCTAATAACGAATGGTCCGTGGTTACATTATAACACCTCTATGGATTATGCTAACTTATTTCATTGATTTATTTTATATTTAAATGAAAATGAAAATGTGTCAGTGATAATTTATCATCATTTATAAAGCATTCTGGTAAAAAAAAGGACAATACAATGGTATAAATATAGCAATAAGCAAAACTTAAAGCTGAGAGCAGCTCTCAGGTGATAAAGCTGATCCTTGTTTAAGATAAAACCATCTCTTGTGGGTGTGTGGGCGCAGTAGTATATATGTAGATTGAATAAAAAACAAAAAACTGGTTGGAGTGTTTATGCAAAGGATTTAAATTAATATGCATGATTTTTTTAGTGTCTTTTAACCTCAAATCTGCCATTCTGGAGAAATAAATATATATTCTGTATATTTCCAGTGAAACTAGACTAGCCTCTCCTCTGCCTCTCTCAACTCCTCCCTCTTGCTGCTTGAAATCTGCATACATTTGCATGTCATTACCATGCGCATATTCTTTGTTCTGAGAAGGAAAGGACGAAGCGGTTTACAACCACGTTGCACATCGCTGTTATGTGATCCGCTTGAAGATGCTTGTATATTTAATGAATGCAAAAATGCTTCATCATCTGTTGTCACAAAAGGTTAACTAGCTTTTTAAAAATTAGACCCCCCTCAAAAAAACAAAACAAAATTCAAACAATGGTTACATAACAAACTGAGTGCTGTAAATTGTGTAATGTGGGGATTGTTGAATACAACATTAATGTAAAATGTTTGTATTATTAATAAGACCTAAATCATTCAATGACATGCATGAATGTATATTAAAGCATCCGACTATAGTGAAATGCACTTAAATTGCGTCCAAAGCGGATTTCATTTTACGACACCATATGCATTCAAACGTGTCACAAAAAACACAGTGATATAGGACGTTTGATAAACAGCAGAAGCGTGGGCTGGCATGCTTTAAACTGACATCTATTGTCCTTGTGGGCTCTTGGCTTTGTGCCGCAGCCAACTGTAATCATGCAAACGCAGGCGCCAGACTTCATTAGCTCCTCAGGGCCAACGCTAATCACACCACAGCAAGGCACAAGAGAGGAGGGGTCACAGAGTATGCAGAAAACAGCCAGGCATTGCCTTCGTGCTGCTGATGTACAGGTATAGAGTCCTGATAGCATGCATGCTAGCACTGACTGCTTTTTTTTTACCCTAGCATTTTTCTTATATCTGCAAACTTCACTAGTCAGCTTTAATTCTAGGTATGTGAATTCACAGTTTATAAAGTGAAATGATAAAATATTTAGTGGCTGGCTGTGAAACCTGCAAAAGAAAAAAAAAAAGAAAATCCTGCATTGGTATGATTTGAATGCAGGAGTGCTGGAGCAGCTATACGACAGCTCAGTTTTGTTTGAGAACGGTATGACTATGCTGGGCCACCAGCTAGACCAGCACTACACCAGATCTAAACAGCCCGGACCAACATGGAATTTATGCTGGGAGACATTTTATAATGTAATGAAAAAGACTGGAAAGTAAAGGTGCATCTGAAAAAGTAAGACAATAAAGTGCACGCTGTTAATGTTTATGTGTGTATTAAAGACTGTCTGTTCGGACAGAAAAGATGAGAATCGAGTCTTTTTGAGGCCAGCATGCTACAGTATGTTGCAACTATACAAATCATTTTTAGTCAGATAAAATAGCATCAATAATTGTACAAATATTTATGGGCTATGATGCAGCCAGATTTGTATTTGTTTTTACATTTGGATTAATCAGTGTACTCACCTCATGTTGGTTTATCATTTGATAACATTGATACCAGGTCCCACATGCTCAATTCAAGTGTGTAAGTAACGGTCACATTTTCCTTCAGCCCTGCAACACAAAGAAAAAAGGACATTTTGACTTTAAAATCACTAAACATTCAATTTGTTTTACAGCGATTCGAGCCAATTTTTACCTTTTTTGATGACGTAAGTGAAGTAAAAATGTGACATAAACGATGGTTCATGTGGTTAAATATTTAGAAAAGAACCTGATAAATTTGAAAAAATAAAGGTTACACTTTATTTCGATAGTCACTTTAGACGTTCTACTAATTATAAGTAACTTTTCAACTACATGTCAACTAACTCTCACTAGAGTATTAGTATATTATAGTAGACTGTCAGTAGACTGTTAGGTTATGGTTAGGTGTTAGGCTTTGGGTTAGGAGAATAAGTTTACTTGTAGTCGCCAAGTTACTTATAGTCAGTTGAATGTCTGTTGAGGGACCAACAAAATAAAGTGTTAGCAGATATTAAGCTGACAGTCTACTAATACTCTAATGACAGTTAGTTGACATGTAGTTGAAAAGTTACTTATAGTTAGTAGAATGTCTAAAGCGGACTATCAAAATAAAGTGTTACCAAAAATAACATTATACAACTAAGACATATGTTGTGAAGTAAGTCTCTGTGAGGAAATTGCTAAAGCATAGTTATGTTATAGGTGTGAGTGAGTGAGTGTGTGTGTGCTCCTGTCTCTACATTATGAGTTCCAAATGTCCCCAAAAGAACAGTTACCAGTAAATGTTGACCTTGTGGGGACAGTTTTTCAGGTCCCCATTAGGAAAAGAGATTTTAAATCATACATTTTTGAAAATGTAAAAATGCATAGTTTTCTGTGATGAGTAGGCTTAGGAATAGGGTTAGTGTAGGGGGTGTAATATACAGTTTGTAATTTGCATAGACATAGACTTTCCATGATTTGTAAAGTCCACATGAAACATAGAAACCCAATCTGTGTGTGTGTGTGTGTGTGTGTTTGTGTGTGCAGGTATATGTGGTACATGAGGACAGAAATGGGTATTACAACGTAAACGTATATTATCAGGACACTTCCTGTGTCCTAGTAAACCAAAATGGCTTAAAAACATAATAAACAGTGTTCTTTTGAAATTTAAAAATCCATAACTTTTTCTGTGATGAATTAGTGTAAGTGGATAGAAGATACAGTTTGTACAGTAAAAACAAATGAGTACGCCTATGTAGAGTCCCCCTAAAACACATGTTCAAGAATGTGCATGTCTCTGTGTGTGTTAGTCCAGTACTGTGATGTTGCTATGTATGGCATTTGTGAATGTGAGTTAATTTGAAAGATAGTAAAGGAGGACAGAGTTAAAGTCAGGATGAAATCAAGTCTGCCCTCCATAGGTTATGATCTTTCGATGTCGAGAAAGACACTCTGCCCATGACTTTCTGCAGCTTGTGTAACCAGCATTGCAGTTACCTTGAGGGGGTTTCACCATTGGTGACTTTTCAGATGAAATGACTCTTTCTGTTTCAAAACATCCCTGTGTATGGGAGAATACTGGCAGAGGCCGCATGACTGTCACCTCAAAGTATGTCTCTGGCCAGCAGAGCCCGAGATCTCTGCAGCTATGCATTCCCTAGAGAAACACACACACACACACAGTACTGCTCTACTCCACAGCCGCACTGTTCCAGAGCATAAAATTATATGTATGTTTGCACATATTTAAGTACATTTTTGTGTGTAAACAACTCTGTAGTTTGCAGATGCTGAAAGCTTAACATGAAGCTTTTGAATGGTTTCCTGAAGTAAACATGCAAAGTAATATCCAACTGTGTATATCTTCTCATCACTAGCTTATGAAATTATATTACGAAATATGCATTTTTTTTGCATGTATTCCGCCTGAGAGATTACCATTTAGCTCAATTAAAAGATTGTTGTTGTTCATTATACTATAACATTTTAAGGAAGACTCCCCTGAACCTATAGGTTTCAAAAAAGCTTCTTTTTTTTTTTTTTTTTTTGGAAACCTGTGCAGTGTGTGTTATCTCCAGAAACTCTCAAAGAGCAGTGTAGGGCCATGTCCACATAAAGGTAGTCTTCTCCTGACACATGTCAGAGGCAGAGTGACAGCTGTCAGCTTTTATTAAGCCTCTGTGTTCGTATGGCTTGAGCTTTTGACTTAGTCACTGCTACACAAAGAAAATGTAATAAAATAATATTTTATTACATTTTCTGTTGGTACGTATGAGAAACGGTGGTTTTTGAATCTCATTGTCTGCCTTTACAAGACTTAAAAGACGTTTATTATCACACAAAAAAATAAAGACTTTTTGCGGTCCTCTCACATCATAAACCCTTAGAGGACTTACAAGATGTTAATTATAGCATTACAATATCTCATGGTTCAATCAGATGATTAATAGCTGACCGTTGTTTGGCTATTATATTCTATGAGTCAGTCTGAACAGCTTATGAGCTGAAAACAAATGTATAAGGCAAAAACAAAAAGCAAATTCCAATCAGAAAATAGAGATTTATTACTTTTTTCTTTAAAAAAAAAAAAAAAAAAACATCAATAATTGCTTTCACAAAGTACAATACAATAAAAGAAATGACAAGATTTAGTTTCATTTGTGAATATGTTATCTCTTGGATCTCCAAATTTATGTTATAATTAAAGGTTTCTGTTTAGACAAAAATATAAGCTTCAAATCGATCACACAATAGCACATTTCATGCAAAGGAAAGTTGTACAGTACATTTTGAATATCACAAGCTGATGTATTTCAAAGCATTGTGAAAACAACCTCCTTCTGGTTCAAGAGAGCAGATAGCAATAATTCAACTTAGCAGCTATGCTAAAAAGCTAAGAGTCTCTAGTGCTTGTATTGCCTGCAGTACGGGGAAACCAAGGTCCATTTTAGCGCTTGATGTTGGTAGTGTTTGAGTCGTCCCCATCCCCCACACCCCCTTTCTCCACACCCTCAGCGTCTGCACTCTCTGGATCCCTCTGCCAACACCTCAGTCCTGACAATCAGTGGCTACTGGACTATATGAAGGCCGACTGCTCTAGCATGGAGCCAGGTATGATTCCCCAGCTGACAGTCTGCATCACATCTGATGGTTGAGAAGCAAGAGCTCTCTCTCTCTTACACACACACAAACACACACACACACACACACACACGGATCATGGCCAGCTACAAACAAAAACACTTAGGAACGATCAAGCATTTGGGCATTCACAAACACTCATCACATTCACTAGTGTTTGATTAAAAATATGTCTCCGGGGAAAAACTCTGGAAATTTATGTGGTTGTACAGACAATCTAGATGTTTTAGACACTGTTTACACCCACCATTAAGATTTTAGTCAATCCAATCACAAGTATAATAGCTGTCTAACATGTTCACACTTCCAAAGGTAGATGGAGCCACATTGATCTGGATTGCTCCTGATGTTCACGTAGTCAAATGCATTCATAGAGCCAAACATACCTAATATGTGAGCATTGTGGGACCAAAACACACAGGTTATGGTTGAAATCGTTGCTCCTTTATCCTTTTCAGTCATTCAGTACTGGGAACTCCAGCAAACGTGACAAAATAAGAGGGGAGTGTCTCTAGGAAATCTGAACGGAAGTAGTTACAGGATATGAATTTGAAATGCATCCTAAGGTGGAAACAGGGCCTTAGAGCTTCAAACGACATTTCAATTGAAACAAACATCAGTCCAGTGGATAATGCTTTGTTCGGCCACGCGGCACAGAGCGGTTGCGACTACTTGAATGATTGTTGCCTATTGTCTATATTGTTGTCCTTTTTTCGTCTACGCCACCAGCCTTTACGCTTTCTTATCTCATTTCTCAACACGTTTAGTACAGGAGATACTCTCGTTTCCTCCCATTAACCACTGACAGGCTGAATCTAAAACATGCAGGAATTTAATTACATTCGGCCAGCTCTCTGGTAGCGGAGGGGGCAGGGGATGTTGAGGTGGAGGTAAGTTGCACACATCAGGTATAAGTGTGTGTGTGGGTGGGTGGGTGGGTGCGAGAGGGAGGGAGTTTTGCTGACACCCTTGTTGCCCACTTTCACGCTAATTAACACTTCTCAGATATACCCGGTGACGCTAGTCTACATGACAGACTCAAGAGGACATTTGCGCGGACCTCTCGTCTCTGAACAATCTGAGCAGATAAAGGTGCGCACACAACACTCGCGACAAACGTGTGTGTGGGAGTATCAAATATACACATGCACAAATACCTAACTGACAGCAACAAATGCACATGAAACGGATCTTCAGCGATGCCGCCTCATTATACCATGCAGTAAGTCATGCCGTAACTCCATCCGAACCAGGATAACACAGGACCATGGCGGTGTGATTCATGTAACTGTCCATTCTCCATGAGAATGCCTCACTGCCACTCGGCACTATAATATCATGTCTTTTTGATACTTTCCTCCACCCCAAATTCAAAGGACTCTAAAGAAGCCCATTACTCTACGACAGCCGATGACAGTCCAGCTGATGGATGCACGTAGCACATTTCGACATACTTCTTAGCTTGGCCTTCTATTAGTATTTATTTTACCCCGTTGGATGGTTGATCACCATAAATGGGAAGCGCTACGTTCTCTAAGTAAACCTATATCTAATTTCAGACTGAATATATTTGCCGGTGGAACACGCATGCAGCATTATGCAAGGCTCCTATGCCAGCGTTCTATATGTTTTTGTGCGTCTATATGGGGGTGAAATACAAAGGAGGTAAGCATTAAGAGTCATTTCTAGCACTCCTGCCTCGGCAGTGCCAAGAGGACGCGCGGAGATGAAAGGTAATGCAAATGGAAGTGTCATATAGCGAGTTCCATTCCAGACAGCCACCTTTGAAATAATTAAGACCGTGGAATGGAGTGGAGCCCGAGTGAGGAATAGCTATTCCTCTGAGTGACTTCTTCTAAAGACCGTAAAGCAAGCAGGCACAACACTGCTGTGCAAATGTTACGACAGCATCTCTATTCAAATGATTGTTAAATTTGCCAAAAGGGCATTTTAATGTTAAT